TAATAAGAGATTTATTACACGACTGAAGTTCAAAGGGACACAAGTGCGGTATCATTTGGGACCATTCGGGACAGTGCCCGGTCCAATACTGAGAGAATATTGACCGGCAATAGAGCATTTTGATTGGTTGATTTTAGTTATTGGCCCTCTGACTTCACGAGTCGTGTAATAATATTAGTTAAAGGCTATTGAAAACGATAGATACCACCATGAAACAATGAAAGCCAAACTTTTGCATGTAACAGGCCTCGCAATGGATTTTCAGTATTTTTAAATCTAATTGGATGAGATGGTGAAGCAAATTTAATGCACTCGAGTCTATGTTCTGCTGGTTTTTCTTTAGAATTCCTAACTATCTACTATGTAAATACGATAACAAAAGGGCTAGTGTCTTACCAACGCTCTTGACATAGACCAGCTTTGGCATCTGTGCAATCACGCACAGGAAATTCAGCAGTGCAAAATATGGATACTTCTTTGTAGTGATATAAATCTGTTGACAAGAACGTAATTGATCTCAACAGTTCCCGATGATCTTTACAAATCCAAAGGCTCCAAGTTCGAAAAACACTCCTGCCAAAAACGCTGGGACAGTTTGTTTTTGGGTGAGGGCAAAACCATAATCTGAGCATCCCTAACCTAGACCACACGAATTTAATGCTTCTTGGAGATAGACATGCGGTTCAATCTCGTTCAAGAGGGTGGGGAGGGGGGAAATACAATTCATCGGCTCACTTTTACAAGAACACATCTCACTGATTATTTGCACAAACCTCACTAAAAAATCAAAGTAAGATAATTTGGCTCTATCAACTGAGCTGATAATGTAAATTCGCCACCATAAAGAGTTTCTAAAGCTGGCGTTTCGAGCATTAGCCGTTCGTAAGACACTGACCTTTGTGAGTGGGTTATGAATACCAGCCCACTCAAGATATGACGTCAGTTCAAACATAAGAGGATTCTCTTCGTTGGGATATGGCCGAGTGGGGTCCTGGTAATGAGCTTCGACATCCCGTAACAGTGCACTGAACATAATAATTTTTTTAAAGACATAGATAAGTTATACGCCAACACCAAGATGTCCGAGGGCAGCTATCTGATACCAGCGCTGAGATAAAAAAGTACGAGGCCTTCAATATACGATTAGGAAGTTACTTTTCGACTTGGTAAGGATCCATGGCAAACTTCTTAAAACGAGTAACTGCGTATCAGCACTCAAATTTAGAATCTCTAGAACGAATAAAATATGCTCTGAAACGTTCAAAAGGTCCAGTATCGCACAAGGAAATACTTATTAGATTGGGTAGTGCTTTATGACAAACCAAGTGTCAAGAGAACCATTGCATATCACTTAGCCTTTGTATGCAGTACAGTAGTAAAATGGATTTAAAAAAGCATGGCTTGTAAGAATCCAAACTAGTCATACTTGTTAAAAGTTTCCAGAGCATTGTGTAGGACTTTCGAGTCAAACTTGCAGGAACAGTTCAACTCATTTGAGATTTGTCTTCTTATGAGCTGCATTTGGCCGACCTAAACAATAAAAAAAGTGGATGATGATGTAAGCTAGCAGACGAAACCGACTTTTTCTTAACCAATCGTAAAGCGCTATGTCGCAAAACCAAAGCGATATCGGATTACACAACACACTCAGATGAAAATTACTCTTATACCCTCAATGCACTTCACGAGGTAAAACTGACGGTAAAGGCAAGATACTCCATTTTCTTCACCGAAAACACCCAACTTCTCTTTGGCCACAGAGCACTAAAATATATCGTTGACCTTAAATGAAATAAATTGACTGAAATATCGAGAGGATCAACCTCGTTCCCAGGGTCTCTCATCTTTCCGCCCCCTGGAGCTAGGGAGGCGGATAGATGAGAGATCCTGGGAACGAGGTTGAGAGAGGATCACTTTACTTTCATGATTGCTTCACTATATTGAGTCCACAGACGGGCCAGCTTTTGAGTAACTGGAGGATACACTCTGTATGGTGATGCTGCGGGGAGACGATATAATAAAAGTAAAAACAAATAAATAAATACTAAATAAACTTTCCTACTCCTGCATGCCAGCGAAGCATCTTAGAAACTTGAGCCTAACTATTTTTACGTTCGTTTTTGGAATCCATGTCATTCTTCACCTACCGTTTAACCATCCATGTTCCTTATTCATCTGCCGTTGAATCTTGCTTATGTTTTATAGAAGAAATCTACCAGCATTCTATCACTAACTGTAGAAAATCTCTTTCGTTTTTAAATTTCAAATTTTAATTTTCCCCCTCCTCTCCCCCTTTGTATCATTTTTTAATTCACGCTTGGCGCGCGTGACTTAACAAATTAACCACTCAAGTCAAAGAACTTTAAACTTGACATTGGAAACTGGCGTGGACATTTTACGCGTATCTTGGTTGTTTTCTTGAGTCTTAAAGTTTGGTTGCTGTTTTTGAGTTTTCGTTCACGTCAATTTGTTAACCCTCAGTTTGGATTTTGAAGAAGTGTTTGGAGATTTTATTTAACCCGAATGTTCTAGTTATTTTAACAAGCCAAAACATATTTTCTACGCAGTTTGGACTGCGTAGAAAATATGGACTCTTGGACTCTTGCCTCTTTTTTCGTTATAGAATTTTTTACACGAATACTGCAATTTGATTGGCTTCGCTACTTGCAATCTGTTCCTTAATAGATAGATAAACACTTAACCATCGTAAAGAATTGCAGGATTATAAAGAGGTAGATTGAGCTTACAAGACAACAACTACAAACCAATGAGACTTTTGACGGGGGTGAGTTGTTTGGAAAGTGCAACCAATGTGTCTACCACAAGTTTGTCTTTGAGTGCTCCTCTCAGCAATGCTTGGAATTTCTACAGACAGAATAAAAGCATAATTCGTAATGAAATAGCAAAAATCAGTCTAAAGGCGAGGCTAGGCCGGTTTATTGTTGTTCACGAAAGACGAAGCTCCGCCGCAAAAAGGTTTTTTCCTTCACAATATGAAAGATTAATACACATGAAACATTTCTTGGCCAGTTTTACTACTTGGATAAGAAGTCTTTATTTTGCTAATACACGTTTTTTTGTAGGATTTCATTGAGCTGCCTTACGTTCTAGACTGTTAGTAAAATCAAAGAACATACAACTGTCAAACCTGCAGTTCCTTGACTATCATAAACGACAGTAGTTTGTCCAGTCCCGTCAGCCCAAACGAGCCAACTGCCTGCTGAAGTTGTTTTAGGATCAGTAAGTTCATCACCTCTTGCTTGGTTCTGTTGTCGTACCAGGCTCCCATCTGGTCAATATAACACGTGGTCCTGACAAAGAAAGTAACCTTAAGTACTAGACTTAACTCCACAGATCTAAAGAGTAATTCCCTTTTTTTAATTCAGTGCTGTACATTTCCTTGTGCAAAAGGATTCTGCAATAACAGCCGGTTAGCAAGTAGATCTACCCGCTTGTGATGAGTTGACTGCCAGTAAGGTTTAGGGTTTGGGGCATCCTAGCATTGTCTATAATAGCGACCACATCCCTTTGAGGTGTTTAGACTCACCTCTGAAACGCATGCTCGTGTTTCACACGCTCACTACCACTGACCATCTCTTCTCATCAAAGCTGCCTCGAACGACGAACCACTAGGCGCACGCGCCGATACCTAAATCTACTTCTTTATCCGCGTACATCATTCATCCAATTCTCAAACGAAACAACCCACAACTACACAAATCACTTACTTGGTGTCTGTTATTCTGAGTATCTCCCTCGCTAATCGTCCAATGAAATTGACAGACTCGTCCACGGGAGGAAACTTTGGTATGGGAATCGTGGTTGATTGATAGACAGATTGCCAATCGTGGACCTGACGTGACGAACAGGAAAATGTTGGATGTTAGCCTGATGGGAACGTGAGCGCACAGTTACCATTTCAGGGTAAACTCATTGCACTTGTCATCCGGTAAGTAGCACAAGCACTCTAAAACAGCGGCTTTAAAAGTTCCTCCGTCACTAAGCATTATTTAAACTGTAGTGAAAACCACTCGCTCATCCAATTTCGAAGAAAAAGGATAAATAAGAGTGTTAGAGCTAACTTCCTTAAATCATTGACTACTAGGTATTTTGCGAAGATTTGCGTATCAAAAAACATCACCTCACTCATTTCTCACAAACCAGGTGGAATGTTTGTAAAGAAAGCTCACAGCAAATACTGTAACTAACTTGTACAACCCTTAAACTCCCCTCTACTCGACAACTGCCTCCCGAGTGATTTTGTCACTGCTGTTGATGAGTTTATTTTATTCATATAATTTAAAGTTCAAACCTTTTCTCTAAGAAAGCTATTGCATTCCTGTTCCACGTTGTAGTTGATGATTCTGGAAACTTCCTCTTGCCAAATTTTCAGACCATAAATGTTGATGTAATCTTGAATATATTCAAAAGAACGCCGGAATCCGTCCATTCTTCCCCCAAGTTCTCTTAGCCTCAAGCCGAGTTCTGATTGCTGTCGGAATACACACAATGTATTGAATCTTGAACTTTAGAGCAGTTTTCAATTTAACATCGAACTAGGTCAAGCTTGTTTATGTTTTGCCCTAGTATGTATATTCTCCAAACTATACTCGACACATTTCGTGTGTTAGTGACAGTGAGAATTTGTCTTGAAATCAAAAGCTTCTTAAATTGATGACCATTTCCTACATTATCATGAACTGGACGTGTGATTCTGGGGAGGAACTAAAACGAGAAATCAAATGCTAGTCAGTCACTTTACCTTAGCCTTTGGATTAAACGTGAGAACAATGTGAAGGGCAGACGCCACCTGTCTGACCAACTCTTTCCTAATTCCATCTTCTAAAAGTTGTTTAGGGTCGATCTGAAAATATTCATAAAATGCTGCATTTAACATCTATAAGAACGCCACGGGGCTCTTCATGAAAGGCCCCCCTGCCTGACACGAGGGGAAGGTGAGATTATGAAATTGTTTCAGAATGGCTGGGTGGTAAACTTGTGACGGTTATACATACAAAATGATTTTATACTACTTATGACATGAATCATAGAGCAATTTTCAATGGAGTGTCGAAGTAATCCTAGTTTGCGTTGGTTTTGCTTTACTTAGCCGTCTCTGATTGGACCAATTAACGCGCACCACGCGCCAATCGCGACATGATCATTTGAATTTTCCCGCCATTTCAAGAAAAGCCGGTTGCCGGCGGTCTACTGTTGATATAAGACTCCTCACCGTCGTCTGTTGAGCCTGCGAGCAGGCTCTCGTGTCTCCTTGTAATACTCCTCTGCTCTGATTAGCCATTGCCGGCGACTACCTTGTTTTTTTTTGCTGTCCGAGGCTGAGCCCGAGCTTTGAGTGTGCTTTTTCAAAGAGACGGTGCAAGAAAATAAAAACGAAACCGTTGTGTTTATCGAATGAAAATTTGAGATTGTGACTTCTAGATACTTAACTTCTACTTCGATTCTACTGCCACGGAGGCATCCCCGAAAGTACTATAATCAACTGAAACGCGCTCGATGCAGCTATTCACACCAGGACTTACCTTTATAATTCCGACCAAAGTTGTCTTCATCATCAAAATCCCTTCCGTAAACACGGAAATGGCATGTGTCAACTTCGCTATCTGCAAAATCACACATACGTGCAATTAAAATGTTTCACTGAAAGAAGAGAAGGGATGGCAAAACGAAAAAGATGCATATGTTTAGTGATTCCTTCTGGTAAAGTCTTACATAAACTTTGTCTCATACCTGGTATCTTTCATCCAGTTGTGCATATTCTCTCAACTTATCTTTTTCCAACCTGGTTGGAACCTGCCACAGCGTCAAAATTAGTTGACACATCATGATTGGAGAGTTCTTTTTATGTGACGAACAACAGTCATGCTTCTAGCACACTCCATCTCATTAACAGACCCCCTCCCCCATTCAATGTTGGCTAAGAGTTCGTGGAATCCCGATACAACACTGTTGTTTTTTTGAGGGGGGGGGGAAGGGGCGAAATGGTTAACTTATGGGGGGGAAGGGGCGAAATGGTTAACTTATGGGGGAGGAAGGGGCGAAATGGTTAACTTAACGAGGACAAAGAGATAAAACTGAAGTACTACGGGGTTGAACAGACCAATATGTCAACAATTTTGTCGCCAATTGTGGTCAAACACAGCATTAGAGGCATATGAATCAGCGTATTACAATGTAAGTAACTGATTTGTATACAGCGGGTAACTGTCTGACGTTTTTTACGCTAGGTCACTACATTTAAAACATGCTTTGTCAAAACCAAACAGATGAAGCCATAAATTATGTTTCTATTCAGGTGTTAATCACTAAGTATTGATATACTTTTATGAAAGGTTTTTTCAAGTTTTCATTCAAAATAAGAGCATTAGGACCCAAAATGGCTGATGTAGAGGATCTCAAACACGGCTAGACTAAAAGAGGCAACGTTTAACTTACACTATCCACCACCCCAGACAATTTACATATTCTACCACCACAGAATGTGGCAATACTGTGAATCGAGAATACTTTGATCTGGTGAAAATTGTGATGAGTATAAACATTTTGTTCAAGTCGCGTAGAGTTATTTTATAATAAGTTATTTACTTAAGGATGAACTTACGTCTTTCTTACTAATAACTTGAACAAAATGATAGAAAAAATTTGTACGAATCTTATTTTATAGACCAACCTCCTTCACGCTACTGATCTGGAGTTGGATGATCCTTGCAAGAAGGCCAAACATTGTCTCAGGAATAATCTGTAAAACCTGTACATACAAAGATTGTTTATTACTGGAAGTTTTGTACAACATCTGGCTGTCGCTCTACTAACTTCCAACAAAACACAGAATGAAATTGCAAATAAAGAAGTGCACAGCATTGAGTGTAATAGATGGGTAACGGCAAATACCAGATACATCCACTACCCATAAAGAGAGTTTTGCTTAAAAATTCCTGGAATTTACACATAACACGAGGTGTAATATACCCATGCTTCTGTGTTCTTTTCACCATTATTAGTAGCATAAAAGGGACTTGGAACCTTTTGCATTGGAACCTTTTGCATTTAAGGGGTATGTCATGGTATTTTATGTAAACCCTTTTTTGTCAAGGTCATCGCATACACGTCAAAACCCCCTTAACTATGCCACTATGCCCTGGCATTGGGACCAAATCAGCTGAGTCCTGCAACATGTAACCAGCTAGCCATGAGGCTATCAAATCTAAACACAAGTTAATAATTTAAAGATGAAACAATTTCTAGTGTAATAGAAAAAATCCGAGTCCCATCTGGGGCTCGAAGTTAATAATTGTTCTTGAAAGAAAAAGCTATACTGAACTGAGAAAATAAAGAGGCATTAAATGAGATCCTACAGTTTCTTAGAGGTTCTTTAGCATAATTACCTTTCTCACATAAGCCACCAATTCACCAGAGTAGTATTGGGACACACTAACCAAATCAGGACTGTTAGCCTGGCCAATACGCACAAGAGGCAAATCCATAGCTGACGCCATCTATAAATAGATCCTACAAGTTAGTCAACTCTTTCTTTTTTTGTACTTTATTTCAACATTCTGTTAACACAGTTCAGTATGATGTACTGTCTACAGTTTACAATCAAGGAGCCCGCAAGTCACCTCACCCAAAGTCATGTTGCCCAGAACCAGAGTTATGTCCCTGAAATTTTAGTCACATCACCCCCCCCCCCCCGCCGCCCCCGAAAAAAAGTCAAGTTGCCAAAGAAATAAACATAAGCACATAATCTACCTTTTACAATGCATATATTACAATAACCAGTACATATCTTGGAAAAAATATTCTAATATAAAATTAACTTACAACAGACTAATTTCAAACTGAAACACACCACACTAAGCCACTATCAAGTTCTACAAGTTAATTAGTCAACTATTGCAGAGATAAGCCTTTTTGACACAAGTGTGTAATGATAAACAGTGTTGTGTTACCTTGAGGAAAGTTGCTCTTAATTTCTGAACCAAAGAAGGGTTACTCTTAATTCCTTGTTGCATAAATCCAGAATAGCTGCATACAAATGGTAACATTCATTAATGTAAATAATATCAATAACATTCTATTTAAGAATTTAATCAAAACTAACTTAAAGTGTCTCTTGAGATAATTTTCTTAATGGTTGATAAGAAGTGAGAGCTACAAATTAACTATACTCACTAATAAAAATAGAAAAAATTAAAAACATTTCATCCTTTTACCTCTATGAGTGATAAACATCTAATTTCTCCCAACAGGATCATTGTTGATTCAAACACTAAGGTCACGAGACTAAAGGAAATTATCCCAAACTCAAGAATCTTTTGATTGTTAGACAAATTCTCCTTGCAATGTAATTACCATAAGAAATGTATAGAGAACAGCACGGAGAACTTGCTTACTGGTGTTTGGGTGTAAAAGACTTCATGTGCTAAGTTTATTTCCTTTAGCACTGAATGAGTCTACATCAAAAGGAGTGGAGAGGGAGAGTTAGCAGCTGAGTGACATACTGTACTACATATGAAAAGTAGAAGTCTGATGGCGTTACCTATCAATGATGTTCCAAGCATAAGATAAGTCAGCTACTAACTGAATGGTGATCAAAACCTGCAAAAGCAGAGAGAGATTATTATAAATAGTTCTTTACGATCTGATTAAATAATTCATTATCATCTGATGTACTTGACTAGAGGCCAGGAGGCCAGCCACACACCTCTTCTTTGATATTGATTGTCCTGATCATCTGATGTAAGAATTGCCTTGTTTCCAGGAGAAACTGTCGTACTTGAAGGTTGCTTTCCAGCTGATGAAATTCTTGAACCTAAAGGAGTAAAAGGGGTTACTCACTAGCTTATTTGAGGCTGGCTAATCCTACAAACAAGGTGGCTGTTTATTTGAGGTGGGCACCTAGTTGAATAACTAACGTACATGAATGCCAGGAAATACAAGGATGTGATCGAAATGGTACCCCAAGGTTCTTATTTAAGAAATCTGGGGTGCCCAGCCCTAACAAACCTTTATAAAAATGAAGTTAAACAAATCACCTAAACACAACACTTGGTAATCTAAGGCACCCAGGCTTTGCAAGACCACAGCCCTGAAATAGTCTTGGTGCATGCACCTGAATTGGCTCAACATGCACATCTTGACCTTGAACTCCCAACATCTGATTACTAAATAAATTCTCCCTTCTAGCTGCTAGACAAATCCTTGTAAATCAATTACAAGAATTTGGTGTTTGATCAAGATAACAACTTCTTCCTGATAAGTTTGAGTATTCTCATTACCTGTCTGCTGGATGATGTATGGATATTATAGGGGGAAGTTACATGTTTATCACTTCTGGAAGTTAAATAGGTTAAGCACAATATTTGTTATCAATGCAGCAATGATGGCAAACCTCTTCTAGTGCTTGGATAAGCTGCACCATCTTGCGTCCAGCTGAGGTAGAGTCCTCATAGTTTAATGAGGAAATCTGATTGGACATCTCTTTGAACCAAGCTTGGAGGTTTTCTAATAGACAAGAAAAAATGTGAATGCTACTTTCTTGAGAATTTTAAAACATGTCATACTGCAGGTTGCATGTGTAGCAGACATAATTATGTCATAGTTCACACCATTTCAAAATCATAAAAACTCCCTGAATTATTATGTCACTTTCCAGGACATTTTTAATGTAAAAAAGACTTGTGATGTTGACATTTTCCCTTCACTTTTCTAAAAATAATCATTTTCAGTAGTTTTCTATGGCTTTACACAACCCTCACTAACGCCACACCACTTTTGAGCCTTGGACATGATAATGTAAGATTTTATGACTTTCCAAGTTTTGTTATATGCTGTAAAAACCTTGTGGTCGGTATAAATTGTACAGATGAATTTATTCCACATACAGATCTTAACCTTTTAACTCCCATGAGTGACTATCATCTCTCTTATTTCTCTTTACAATATCACCCCTTAATAATAATAATAATAATAATTTTTTTCATAATAATAATTAATATGAAAAAAACATTATTACCACTATTATTATTATTATTATTATTAAGGGGTAATCAAGCTCTATGTTCACAGGAATAAAGGAAATGATCACCAAATAAAGAAGCTCTTAATTGTTGACAAATTCTCCTTGTCAGCACTTTAAGAAATGTATAGAGAACAGTATGGAGAATATGCATACTGATGTTAGGATGTAAAGGGATAACAGTTCATGTCTATATACTGGTCAAATGCCTGTCTGTTGTCAATCACGGCTGGAGTACTATATCTTATTAACCAAGTGCGAGGGCCATACTGGGAGAATATCGGCCCGAGGTCTTGACAGTACGGACCTTGCTGCACTCGGTCCGTACAATAAAGACTGAGGGCCGATATTCTTCCAGTACAGTCCCGAGCAAGCTTGGTTAATAAGAGATTTATTATATGACTGAAGTTCAAAGGGACACAAGTGCAGTACCATTCGGGACCATTTGGGACAGTGCCCAGTCCAATACTGGAGAATATTGGACCGGCAATAGAGCATTTTGATTGGTTGATTTTAGTTATTGGCCCTCTGACTGCCCGGGTCGTGTAATAAATGTTACTATACAATGTACCATTTTTTTTAATTCTTGTCAGTGGTTTGGTGCCAGAAAATACTTCAGAAAGCTCATCCATTCTCTCAACTCCTTCTGTTTTGTGTTTTTCCCATTGAGACTGCTTCTGTGCCAACATCTGCTTGAACATCTGATGTAATGTTAAAAATAAATATTAAATAATTGTATTTATGTTTCACCGTTCACATTTTTTAATTAAAAGTAGTTCAATTTCCATTTTTCTTTGTCTTCTAATCACTGTGTAATCAGAAACAAAAGAAAACAAAAATTAAGCTGCTACTGAAAAATTTTCTATAATGGAATAATCTGAGGCACAACATTATGTGTAATATATTTGATCAATAAATAAGAGATACTGTAACCAAAACTGTAATAATGATAACTAAATAACCAAATGAAAATCTAGCATATGTAAATCAAATTTTGTAAAAATTGATGTCCTCATTAGGGGTCACTTCTACGTCAGTATTTGAACCAATAAAAGTTAACTTCTGACTATCTGAGGGAAAGATATATAATAAATAAAAAAATAGTTGTTTCTTTAAATCAAGATGGTGATTTCAAACCTCCTTCAGCTTAAGTTCAAACTGAGCAGTATTCAACAGCAGGTCAAAGACAGCTTTTGGGTCATACCCTGATGCAGTTACCATCTCTCTTAGAGCTCGGCATCTCTTGTTCATTTCAAATACTGTCAAATAATTTCAACTGGTTAACATGATTCTCTGTACTTCAGAGGAAAATTGTACTTGTGCCATTTTTAAAATGTGTGGTTTCCTTTGAGTGCCATAAAACCAAACTCAAAGCTTGTCAATCAAGCAATCTCTACCAGTCAGGATAGCTGACTTGTTAGTAACAAGGTTTTGGTCACTTTCAAATGTCCATCTCTAAGAACTAGCTAAAAAGTAAATTTTAGAAGTAGGTGACTTGTATAATAGATGAACAATATATTAGGAAACTCCTAATATATTATTCATAGCATTCTTTTTCCCAGACTGACAGACTGACTGCCAGGGAAAATAACTTGAGGAAAAATTGTGGAGGTAAACTCCCTAAGGAAATGTAAAACAGGCTTTGGTGGTTTTGTTATGGCAGTTGGCCATCGTTTGTAGGGTACTACATTATCACTCTTTGTACCCTTGAATCATGTCATGCACTCAGGTTTTATAAGAACATGGCATTCTGCAGTCATATCAAGAGGAGGATTAAGCATGTTTTTTGGCTGAAAAAGTTCCAGTTTTCTTGCTTAGTTTAGAGAGAGAGAGAGAGAGAGAGAGAGAGAGAGAGAGAGAGAGAGAGAGAGAGAGAGAGAGAGAGAGAGAGAGAGAGAGAGAGTAGAGGCCGATGAGCACTCATTTAACAAAGAAAGTGCCCCATTTACAATTACTTCTCTGGAAGTTGACCATTCCTCTCACCTTCACAGTTATGAAGCATGAGCCATCTGAGAGTCACATTACAGTCTCTAATGCAGTTCATGAGTTTTGGGATGTGATCCAATGCATATTCCTCAACAAGAAATCCTTCTTTGAGATAATTCAACACCTACCATTAACGATAAAAAATTTATTTTAAAATCTGTTGTGCAGTGAAAAAAATGGTGAAAATCACTTAAGCATAGACTAAGCTTTTTACTTATTCAAGTAGATATAATTTATGGATATACTTACTTTTATTAGACCTGCACAATGTCAATTTTTTTTTTTGATTGAGTGTTTAATATCAGAAAGATCAATTAACTTCAAGTACTTTAAATCACTTCAATCTCACATGTGGCTTGAAAAAAATAGGTAAAAGAAAAAGAAAAACAAACAAAAAAAAAACAAACAATCTTGATAATAAAAAATGAAAGAAAATGGCTGCCCATCCTGTTTACAAAAAATCTCCTTGAGCAGATTATGTTGTCAACCAGCAAAATGCCTGTAGCTTGATATGAACATTCAGGTTGAGATTCAGGTTGTATTTTAAATTTCCCACATGCGTGACCAGTGTAAATTAAGTGCCAACAAGCCACTGAACAAACATTTACCTCTGCATTCAGGGTTCTAACTTTGGTATTGTATCTGGTTGCCTGCAACGAAAGTTGACAGTAAACATAAAAGGCACCTCACAACATTACTAAGACTAGGCAGACACCTATAACCAAAACAGATCTGCACTGGGAAAAATTAAGAGAGTCTATGAGAGTAAAGGGTTACCTCAGAAAGAAATCAGAGATTTTAACCCCTAATAAGGTAAGGTAGGTAACACCTGCTTATAACAGGGTTCGTGCAGGAATTTCAGAGTTAAATTTAAGGACTTTTTAAGGAGTATTAAAAGACTTAAATTTGACTTTTAAGGAGTCATTTTTGTTATGAAAAAAGCATTTGTTTGCAATAATGGCGGCAGATTTTTTCCCAAGGCGCTCTTGAACCAGATAACTTTCTATATTTTTTCTCTTTTATTGTTTCCAATATATTTTTTCACATTCAATTCATATTTAATTAAGTAAACAATTCGATGAGTTTTTGAGGATTTGTTTACAATTTTTTATTATTAAGAGCTTTCAAGCACCCTTAAATTTGCAAAATATATTCAAGTAGTTTTCAAGGAGTTTAAGGAGTAGCACGAACCCTGTTATAAGCCAAGTGGCCCATTGGGCGGGCATTTAAATCCGGCTTCTATAGCATGAAGCAACTGGGAATATTTCTACTCCCCCCTGGATGGGATGCTAGTCAATCACAGGGTTACCCCCAGCATTAAATTTGCCGGTACTCATCTATTTTCCTGGGTAAAGAGCTCTAGGGACTGTGAGAGTAAAGCACCTCGCCCAAGAATGCAACACAGTGTCCCCAGCCAGGGCTCAAACCTGGACCACCAAATCCGGAGTCCACATATACATAATATAAATACTGTAAAAAAAACAGATGTCTTACCAATGGTTTGACATTATTGAGATCAAGTGTATTGTTGAGAGCTGTTTTAGCAGCTTTGTAAGGATCCCAAGCTTCTACCAAATTGACAACAATTCCCATGTAGATGCTGATCACCTAAAATGTAAAATAATTTATCAGACAGACAAACACAATATACGTATTAAAGAAATATAAAAATATTTTCAAGGAAATAAACCTCATTAACAAAGTAAATAAATACATAGATGAATAGATGGATATATGACTATAGGGAAGAAACTGTACACCCATTGGATGGCAGTTAATCAAGAGCGACAGAGCCAATATCAGAGTAATGGTTGCTTCTGACAATGAGACTTTAATTACCAGTCCACGTAAAATAGTTTAATGATCAACTGTTGCCCTACATGTCAATTACTGCATTTTATGCCACTTTATAATTTCTGTGCTATGATCTTACCCAATTATCAGGGAAATGTTTGTCCACAATCTCTCTCATTTTAGCCTGCTGGTTCTGTAGAATATCTGGTGCAAAAAACAACATGACATACAACATGGAAGCTTGGGTAGCAAGGGCTGTGCTGCGATGTTCTGGCAAGGGATAAGCTGAGATCTAAAATATTATGAAAAGAAAATATCATGATCAAGATAAAGTCTCCATTATAAAAAAAGATGATATGGCACCCTTAATCCCCTAACAAACCTGATTGTAGACATCGTCAGACCGCAGACGACCAATCAGCATATCCACAAATGACTGGGGGACAGAGATTCGCCTTAAAAGAAAGAAGGTACAAAAGTTGGGAATTATTTTTACAAGAGACAACTAGAGTGCCGGATTGTGTTGTGGTCC